CCCTTTTACATGACTATTGAAATAACAACCCGGTAATGATTAATGAACCTTCGTTCTCCTTGGCTATAAGTAAAATCGATAGATCGATAGATGAACCGAGCAAATCGGTGCAAAAAGTAGTCTATCGTGTGCGCAGGGATCGAAAATATACGTGTGCAAAATTTGGCGCTTTTTGGTTTACTCATCAAGATTTCTATTAGACACATACATCACGCAAACATACTTACAAACTTTGAATTTTATATATTATATACAGGGTGTCCCAGAAAAATGTGTCTGTTTGATGGTAAATAACTCTTATGTAATAAAGTCTTTCGAAAAGCTTTAGGTACCCTTTTGTAAGGCTGGCTTCAACTTTGATTTACAGTATAAAGCCAGTCACCGGTCCTCTTTGTTACCTGTAGGACTACGGTGGGAACTTCGAAGAGGGTTCTGAACCATGAAAAATTATGTTTTGCATTAGAAAGAGAACAAAACAGCCTGAAAACTTTTACACTGGGCTAATCAAAGTTGCTGATTCTAAATGTGAAGATTGCAACTTAGCATGATGCTTCATTGAAAAGCTATGCGAGGTAAGCAGTAGCGGCCGTTTTTCCAATGATTAAAAAAGTGCGGTTACACCAATTAGAAAGCTTTGCAACCTCATACATAGTTGAATTCAGCGTCCACAAAAACTCCATCACATAAGTTTTCACACTCTTTTTGAAATTTTTTGAAGCGCAGCTTTTTTCACAATGATACCATATGCTTGAAGTTTCTACCGTAATCCTACAGTAATGAAGAGCAACTGGTGATTCGCTCTATACTGTAAATCTAAGTTGAAGTCAGCCCTACCAGATGGTACTCAAATTTTCTTGAAAGAATTCTCTACAAGAGAGTTATTAACAAGCAAACAGTAGGCACATTTTTTGGGACACTCTGTACATATGATTTTCATGGATAAACTTCCCGAAGTCTCACTATAGTCGCTACTCAGATGTAATTCCTTCTTTGATTTATGCATGAACTAGTTGAGTTCAACATGATCGACTGCATGAATTATTTGAAGCAGGTGCGTTGAATTTTCTTCTCGTACTGTTTTCATAAAGACTGCAAAACTGGTTTAGAACTCGTTTACCCTTTTCAGAATATCCCTGCTTACACGCGCATGAAGCTAGGGTGCAAGCCTAGATATGAGTGCCAGTCACAATTTTTACAGACTTCAATGGTAGGGTCTCGAGTTTTTATCGGGCGTAGGCTTACCTCATGGTGAGTTTCGACCTACGTACTCCAGGATTCCTCCTCCCCAGTTTTCTCGAACAGATAAAACACCTCTCACCGGGAGGGGCTGCCGCTATTATGACTCCCTTCACAAGTCGTTCTCACCTTATCGCATGTATCCGTCAACGCAAAGTAAAACGCATTCCTTCCCTCACTTGTGTGAGGTTCACTCCAAACATCTTCTTTACTGTTTCCTCAGTTGTCTTATATGCGCCCCGAGGTGCATGTTTCCTCCTGCTTAGCTCTGGAGCTAGATTGTTCATCATATTTTTCCGTACTAGAAATGTGTAGCTTGAGCATTGGGTGATGTATTGGGTTGTTTCAAAAGTTCTACCCGCTTTCGAACTTTGACTTTGATTTACCGTAACTCTTCTCAAAAATAATCTTTGCAATTGCTGTAGACCGTATCAATCTGCAAATCTTTGGCTATTCTGCGCACTCTTTAAGATTATTGCAGTAACAGTGGAGAAGATTTTACGGGTTAAAATCTAGGAACATCTCCTTGTACAAACCTTCACTTTACAAAAGCATAACTTGATTGGAATATAGCTGAGTTGCACAAGCACTGCTCACAGTGTAGCCCATAGTCGACTGAGCAGCACCGCTAACTTTGGATCTCATCAAACCTCTCCATAGAAATTTTGTGCCGAAAAATCCGAAAGGAACACTTATTTTTTCTTTCTGAGGCGGCAAAAAATGCAATTTTTTGACATTTTTGATTTTGTTCGCCGTTGACAAACCAGGAAATCTTTTCGTTCTTTTGGTAGCAGTTGTTCTAGCTCTAAACTTACTATATAGAGTTAATGTTCCGCGATTGCAATATGTTTATGATTTTTATGCGACTTGAAGGGACCATAAAGAAAGGTTATGTTTGAGCTAAAAATTTGTAGGTTTAAAATTTTTCTGAAATCATATCTCAATGAGCGTTTCGTAGCACAAGTCTCCAGCAAACATTATGTATGTTTTAGAAGAGATTTTTTTTTCGGCTGTAGATTTCACGGCGATAGAGCAAAGACGAAAACTTTCACATTTGTTTCGCTGTCTTTTCAAAGTACGCAACCACACAGCAAACCTAGATCTATGGAAACGAAAATATGCCTGAGAAACTAGAAGAAAAGAGCTTTTGGATGATACAAGCAATGTTTATGAAAAATGGTTTCTTCCTCCAAAATTGGCAGTTCAAAAAAAGGTATCGAAAACGGTAGAACTTCTAAAACAACCCAATACATCACATTGAGCATGAGGGGAGCACTGTTCCGTTTCTTATAAACATCGTCTTCGTTAAGTTTAGCCGTAGACCTATTTTTCTGCACACTTTGTCAAACTTTGCCAACATTTATTCCGTTGATGCTTGGTGTTATCAATATGATGTTATCAGCAGACCAAAGTGTTATAGTTGTGCAACCGACTTTCACCCCATTTCGCATCAGTCTAGCCTCCGCTTGATGTTGCGAAGGCGACGCTGGATAGCTTCAGCGCTAAGTTTCGCTTTGTCATACAAATTTTCACGTCAATGATGAAGTCCTTGTGAATGAGGCAATGCTGATTGTAAAGTCGCTATATAGCTCATGAGTTATCTTGATGTACTGAGAGGGATTACCTTGGTTTTTAAGGCATCTATGACGGTTTCAATCTCAGCCGAGTTAAAGGCCTTCTTTAAAATGTTGAACGTAAGACAGAGTGGCATTCTGTACTCTCATGTACTCTCATAATGCTTTGATGAGCCTTGACACCACGTGGTGCAATCTTTCGCAGTGAGTCCTCTTCGAAACCCAGCTTGTTCGCATGTCTTCCTTCATCCAACTCCCTTCTGATCGCATTGAGAAGGACTCTCGTAAAGAGTTTGTAGCCTACGACAACGGGCGTATAGTGTGGGCCTAGAGACAAGCGAGGTTAGGAATTGTTGACATTAGGACAGTAATGCTGGTTTAGCGCCGGAATGTGCTACAAGAGCTTGAGACCAAAATGGAGTCAAATATGAGAATAAAATCACGGACATCACATAAACTTTTTGAGTTTGAATTTTAACGGTTTTAAACCCTTTAACGACGATGTGGACCACGGTGGCGGACGCACTTTCTGCTGCTAGGTACGATGTGGACTACCGCTAGCACACACACTCTTGCGGAGGCATATCTTCCGGTAGTCTATGGTGGTCTTGGGATCTGTAGACTCCGTCGTCCAAGAAGATGTTAACAGATGTTTACAAAATATTCCCGTATTTTGTAAACAACACAAAATGAACAACAAAGGAAGTATTCTGCAATATCACGTCGCATCACAGCGCGCCACGCAAATTTCGGCATCGTCGTCAATGGGTTGAAGTATTTCCACTTTAGCCTCCTGAATAAAATTGAAATTACATGTAAGAAACAATCGTCGCGATTCAATCGCTACAAGACAAGGGTTACGTCTTCATCGCATGCCGATCTTCTTGTATTTCGGTTGTGATAGTTAGTCACGATTAGTCGTGTTGGAAAACTATCACAACCGAAATGCAAGAAGGTCGGCATGCAATGATACTGTTACACTTGTCTTGTAGCGATTGAATCGCGACGATCAAATCGCGTGAGCTCTGCCCAAGGCCTAAGGCATACCTCGCTCGATTCCAGTCGCTGCGCGACTTCGCGGCTCTTTGTAACTCGTCGTTAATGCACTTCTTTTGGTCAGAACTTGATCCGTTTGCAACAATTTACAAAAGCTATTGGAATATGCCTTTGAGAAGCGCACACGCTAAATTTATAGAAATCTCGAAAATTGCCAAGTCGCGCGAAGGTGGCGATTTGGCCGAATCGCGCGAGGTATGCCTTAGGCCTTGAAGCTGAAACTAAGCTCAGTCGAGTAGGGAAAACGCCACGATTGGACATGTGAATTTCGATCGCTTGAACAAGTTCAAGTTGCAGAGCTGTTTGAGGCTAAAGAATAGGACCGAGATTCTGTGGAAAATTTTTTTGAAGATTAAGCGAGGCATAGATGAACGTGTCAGCGAAGCATTTTCATAGTGATTCCATCGAAACCAAAACTCTCAACAACTATTGAAACACTTCGCAGCTGAATAAAAGCACAGTATTTGTGCAATAAATCAATTGATATCAGTATGGGCATCTTTGCGGTTATTTGCATTAAATCTTTGCATTATCGAATCGAACATGATCATCATTTTGCGAAAGATTGCTTGCATTTATTCAAACTCTCAGTTTGCGTAATTTTTGAAATTCTTGCATTCGGTGTTTCCAACACTTCAATGTGAAGTAAAAGATCAAATTCGAGATTTTGCGGGAAACTGTTACATCCCGTAAAGAGGGCCCCTACAACCATCCACATACAAGTCCTCATTCTGATCGGTTAAGTATCGCTATCCAGCGTGAGTTTGATTCAGTCATGAATTGGGCGGGGCTTGTCTGGGCTTAGTTTATGGAATGGGTTTTGGATCTATCAATTAGCGATGTTGACAAGTCATGATCCCCATAACTACATTGAGGCGAGTCTTTGGGTGGATGAGTTCCCTCACTCTTCTTAGTCATATAGCTCTTCGATAGGCTGTTTTCGGGATCGGCCGTTTGCCGTATGCCGCTGTACAACGCGTAGTCGTTGGAAAGTGTTCTAGAAACAGCAGGATTCGTACGCGTCATACCGCATCATTACAAGTTACCATCACCCGTTGGCGCGACGTCGTAAAAACGATGCCAATCGAAATAGGCTATATATGCAGGACTGTTTGGCAATATTTTAATTTACAGGTACCGCAAGGCGATAAGTTGCTACAAACTACAACCGCCAAATGCTTCTTGGAACACTGATGAACTTGTTGCACATCTATCCGAGTCTTTACGAATGTGTTCTGCCAGTGATGTAATTCTTAGTGCAACTGGTGGTCGAAGCAAATGCCGTCCATTTACTGAGGTATGCAACTCAAATCGTGGTGAAGATAACACGATTTTTTGAATCCTATATGCATTTACATGCTTGTGCAGATTTGCTTATTTATATAGCGAAATTTCTTTCCTTCTAAATTGAGGCCCATCTTATTTATTTCGTCACGTGTCAGGAATTCAAGATATGTAGGATTTTACTTCGACAGTGGTAGAATTAGACATCGTCAAATTTGTTAATAAGTGACGTATCCGTTCGCATTCTTTTATACGTGCCGTGCTCCACTGTCACATCAGAACTCTGTTCTCCAATGGCAAGAGCAAACGAGAAAATTACATTTGCAATTATGCAAACTCACCTTTCGAGTCAGTAAGCTTGAGCCTTCCTTTTTTTTCAGGCGAAAAATTCACCAAAGCAGCAACTTCTTCTAAGCTGTCGTTCCGTGATATCCTATCATCCTGCCTCTGTGCCAGCTTCGAACAACAGCAACTGTATAAAATTTTTGAAAAAAAAAGATTCGAAAAAAGGTAGAAACAGAACGAAATTGTGTAAAACGTTTGGACTTCATCGGACATCTTCTTTAAGCTTCGTGCTCCATCTTTGCGGAACAGCTTCAGGAATCTTATCGCCTAAGCCATACATACTAGGCACGCACTTATGGCAGGCTACGACTTTCAATTTCAGTTCACTGTACAGGTTCCTCGCGCCCATTAGGGAACATTCGTCAAAGAAAACGCACTTCTATCATCAGCAGATAAGCACATTAGAGTAAAGCTGCTCTGTTCAGGGTTTCAGTCAGCAGGCGACGACAAATTTAAGCCGAAGGATCATCTATGTGCAGCTAAGAGAGAATGATCCAGTCTTTCATTGGAAAAAGCTTAGCTTTAATGCATCTGAAATATACACCTCTACCTGTGAACCATTCTAATTTGTCGGCTGTGTGTTTCTTTCTAGCGTGACTACACTTTTCGCGTCTGCTTCTATCTCTCGGTTTCAGGAAGGATTTGATTTTTTGCCTTTCTTTACTGTTTTTACTGGAAAGTTGGAAACAGCGCACCCTTATTACCTTTTGAAGTCTATTCATACACTGGCAGTATTCAAACTTTGATTTTTTTGACGAGTGGGTGAACGTTTTTTCTATCCTTTCAGAATCCTTTTCTACAAGCAAATTTTTTGGTTTAAAAGTGTTTTCTTTAAATCTCCGATTCACTGTGTTTGCACTTGAGTAATCCAACTTTTTCTTATAACTTTTCTCTGTGCAAATGTGGCACAATCACTCATTGATATCATAATGATTATCATGTTAGCTACGATCACAGCCATATCTGGCATATTCAATTGTTTTGCAAGTTACGTTAAGGCAATTTGAGGGAAGGAGAAACGATTTGTTATAGATTTGAACTGGACTTGGTCTAGGAGTGTTATGCGATATGCTGATCAAGAAAATGAGATTCATCTTGCGTGGTAGACTATTTTGTTACGAAAAGTTGAAAATCAATAAATAATTCTTTTACTCTGACAATAATGGGGTCACATTTCTGAGCATGCCAGATCATTTTATTATGCAAAAAATTCCGTCAGAGCCTGACGGTTCCGACTTTTCGATATTGATGGATCCGAGGCGGCGTTGACGCATTTGACTAGTTCGACTTCTCAAGGGCGACAGAATTCAATTTGTCTTTAACTTATATCCTTTTTTCGCTGAGCTTAAGAACCAACTTATGACACATTTCGCCGGCACCGGCTCCATTTGGGCAATTATTCTCATGTATGGGTTCGTAAAGCATTCCGCACTTCGTTTGTGTAATCCAGAAATGTTTGCCGATCGAGGAACAATTGAAATCATTATGAGAATATCTTAGAGAGAGGAGCGGAGAATCACATATGAACCGAGAATCCATGGCAGCGTCACTGATGGAGTTAACAAAGGCATTCCAAGTAAAACTCGCTTTCGACACCTGCTACGCAATTTCGCATGTAGCCAACCAAACGTGGCACCTGAATGGTAAAGGTATTATCACTGGCTCAGTTATCAGTTCGAGGTGTTTTCTTTTAATCGGCCATCAAAATTATTGGGCTGTGCGGTCTTCCACAAAAAACGCGTGGCTTTCCATAAATATAGCTCATGGAAAATTCGCGGGCGGGTTGCAATTGAAAGTCGTTCAAGCATCCCAACATCCTAGCGATATGTCGGTTATATCGGCTATTACTAACGTTATGGTTTCGCAGTAGCCTTATGGCTAACTGAGAGCGGTCTTTCACATGACGTTATTTTCCCAAGACCCTCCGTTTTGCCCGGACACCCTTCCAACGAAAGCAGGATATTATAACGCTGGCAAATTGGGAAAGATGGCTTATTATAAGAGCGTGCAACGTTGATTGCAGATCTGCTCCCCTCATTAGAAAATCGAAGAAGTCTCTTTTCAACTCATCAAACATCATACTCCAGACTCAAGCGTTCATAATTGCCGTGGTACTTCACGGATAATAGCAGATTTGTTAGCTTTGAAGATGCATCTGATCTTCACATCTATTCCCAATTTCTTGCGCAGCGCGTATCCTTCCCTTGTAACTCAAAGTTATCATGTTCCTTTGGAGTCGTTATTGGCTGCGCTATAAGCGCTTGAAACGAAGAGAAAAAGTGACTCGCTTTCTGAACACTACCTTCAATGCCACGCATTGGTTTCAATGCGAGTCAGATAATAACTTTTTAGATAACTAATCTCTGTAAATTGTCTTTCACTCAACGAACCGTCTGGAATTCATGTCTGTACTTTTCAGTTTCCGCTCATAAAATGCCGTCTTTGTGCTGCTGTGTATGATCAAGCAGAGGAGTTTCTGAATCACACGCTCAGGAGTCATTTCGGCAAAGAGCATGTGAAACTCTACAAAGATCTAGGCGTGATACACAAAGATGTGCAACATGTGCTCGACATCGCGAGATCTAGACGTTTTCCTATTGTTGGACGGTAATCGCATCTTCTTTGGTTTTTGCTACCGTAATTACAAGCTTTTTTTATGCGCGGAATCTCATTCCTTACTCTTGACGCTTCGTTTACAGAGCACTTATCAACAGTCCGGAATTATGTGTGGTGACTCCGCTTTTATCTCCTCTTGCATCGTTCATGCTTGCTGGAGTAACGGTATCCACGAGAAAGCCTAGTAGTAACTTGCATGTAGAAAAGTTGATCGAGGTTAGGTCTTCCGTATTACCTTGACTATTTGGAAAGAACTTCAATTACAGGGACCCAATGTGGATAGAATTCCTTTGTACTTTTCTGTGAGAGCCATGCACTGTCGACATTTGGAGCGGCGCATATATGCTGCAAATAAACTGCGGAAACGGAAGTTCCGTTATTTAAGAAGTCTGTTGAAGCCTTTCTACATCGACGCTCCAGATTTACTGGAGCATCCTCCTCAGGATCCCGAAGTAAGTCCAAACTATCATATCCGCAGAATGAACATAAGCTCTTTTATTGGGCAGTCAGCATTGTATCAGTGCGCCTTCATCAACTATCATCTGCAATAGTTCCAATACTTACAAGTTTTGATCCACATTTTTTCTCACAGTCGTAGTCACTCGTAGATACTATGCCAGGCCACATTGGTTGCAGTTTAATGATCTGATACAGCTTCACCAACTGGTGGTCCAATCTTTATGCATAGGTCGCGTGCGTGGCAGCTTAATGTGGTTCCTCATCGCGCTAAGGGCGGAATGCATGATTATCTTTATCGAGGAGGAAAACGTAGCATACAAGAAAGCTTTATATTCTGAAGGTCCAGAGCTCTGGACTTTACAATGTCTATACATTCTCAAGTGTCTTTATTCTCGACCGTAAACATATTGAACAGAATCTCGTTGCTTGGAGAAGGAAACCGCGGACGCCTTGCCACATGGAGAATTGAGGTGTAAAAACATTATGGGAGAAGAATGGCTACTATAGGATTGGAAACTCCTTGGACGAGCTCTGAAAGAAGCCGTGGGCGCTTTGATCAGAAAAATAAGACTTCTAAGCTTTGACCTGGAATAGTTTGCAGAGTTACACAGGGGAGAGAGAGTGGAGGCCGTGGGTACTTAAAGCTGTACTTGAAAAATTATGGAGGAGAAAGCTCTTGCACGCGCTAGATACATAGAGATATATAAATCCATGTACTCTGGTAACCTTCACTCTGAGCGACATAAAAGAACACAAGCTTTACCTGAATAAAAAGCAGAAGTCATCCGGGGCTTGGCCTCGGCTGTTAAGATTATGAATGTATCGGAATGAATATGAAAGAAAAAGTATAGTGGGTAATATCTCAAAATTGTCACAGCTAGCCTAACTTTTGTAGCGAAAGTCTATTGGGTTTCAATGGGCTTTTTACGCTACAAAGGCGGAAAATTTCTCCAGGATTTAGGACTAAATTTTTCAGTTAACCTCTTTTAGACTACGGTTGACCTACATAATTCCACAAGCTCTTGGCTTACAATAAATCGAGAAACTGCACTTGAATCTTGCACGAAAGTCGCGCGCTGGTTTATCTCCTTAATGGGTGGTTTTCAATGCTTGTGACGCTTCCAGTGCTCCTAGTCGTGTCACGACGGTTAAATCAGATAGATCAGAAATCAGAGTGAAGTTATATGTAATGTCACAGGGTTTCGTTAACGACCAGAGCCAGATGCCCCTTCGGGTCTGGTCTTTCTATTTGCTCGCCTGCTCTCTGCGCGCGCACTGCTTCGCCACCCCAAACGCACGGGGCATTGGCTTACTACCCTTTTCGTCGTTCTGAACCCAATCTTAGCTAATTGTTTATTATACAGAAGCAGTTGATCTTTACTCTCAAGCTGACAACGTCCTAAAACGCCAATTTTTTGATTTGAATGCTGGCAAAGACCACGTTATCGGAAATCTCTTTCTTCTACCGCAACTTTCACACTTTGCCTTCGTTATTTCGTTCATTCAAAGTATCTTGCTTCTGTCTATAATGTAAACAACGTCGCAGAGCTTATTTCTTTGATTATGACGTAATTTTCTGTAAAACTCGCAAAAAATGCGTTTTGCAACGATTTTTTTCGTTCAACTTGGGCGATTATTGCTCAGAATAATAAGCGCAACAATCCAAACAACGTCCCAGGAAACAGAGACGTTAATGCATGGTAGAAATTCGAACGAAGCATCAAAAACTAGATTGGCTCTGACGTGCACTTCGACTTACAAGGAAAGTGTTACAAATCGCAGTGACCGTTTGAGATGGGATGGGTGGTGTGACACGTCACCCGGAAGGGCATTTCCAAAACCACCATCGCTGGCTGCAGAACTACTTGCTACGGGCGCTTTTCCGCACGAGACCCAGTGCGCCTTGCTCGAATACGGCTGCCACCCTCAGCTAACAGTACCATTGTGGCGAAGTGGCAAGTGTGCTGACTATCGTGCGTATGTATAGGAGTTCGATAACTGTTTTGCAATTTATATACAGACTCCTAAAATGTGCGCATTAGTGACCAAAACGTGTTTTACCCCTTTATTGGTGCTTAAAAGTAGAAAAATGTTTTTGTTGCGAAGACCTCTTGTACGCGTGGTGAAGCATTCATTCAGATGAAACTTTATCGTCAGATTTAGCGTGCGACACAATACAGTGGAAAAAGCGAGAAAAATGCGTTCTTAACCTGTAGTAAGATTCCTGTCACATATATGATATTCTAGAACAAAATGCTTGAAGCAGAAAAGTTTTTCGCAATCGTTTTTCATCGCATTTTTCGCAATCGCCCGAGGTTACGCGCTCAATCTACGTTTGACGCTCATCTCGTTCAAATTTTTCATTTCCGCACTTGTGCTTTCTCGCATAGTTTCACTATATTTGACATTCCTTTTGAAGAAAGATATCATGGTGTGCTTTTTTTGCTTTTAAGCACCAGTAAAGGGGTAAAACACGTTTTAGTCACTAATGTACACATTTTAAGAGTTTATACATAAAATGCAAAAGAGCTGTGCAACAGGATAATTCGAACCTCATACATCCGCACAGTAGCCAGGACACTTGCCACTGCGCCACACTGGTACTGTTAACTGATGGTGGCAATCGTATTCGAACAAGGCGCACTGGGTCTCGTGCGGAAAAACGCCCGTAGCTCCCCACCCAGAGTTGTTCTGCAGCTAGCGAGGGTGGTTTTGGAAATGCCCTTCCGAGTGACGTGTCACACCACCCATCCATCTCAAACGGCCACTGCGATTTGTGACACTTTCCTTGTTAGTAAAATCAAAATTTCGCGTTTTTTCATGACTACTACTTTTCTTGCTAATGTTCTTCTTGATAGTCAGCATTTCCGAATATGGTTTTTTTTGAAACAGTTACAAAGAAATTAGCTTTTCCTCCTATATTCCCGATTTGGGAATTGCCTGGTCCTAGAACGAAAACCTGTACTTCGAAATGCCGCCATATGAAAGAATTCAAACTCATTGCAGCATTTTTCCGATTTTCAGAAGTTTCATTTGCTCTATCTGTTTTGCACCTTCTTCTCTGATTTTCTATAAATAACCTTCACAGCGTATGAGGGGCAGATATTCAAACAACTTCCACTTTTGACGCCGTCTCTAGACCATCGGAGGTATGGCTCTTGGCATCTGAACAGAAGAACATGGGGGTGGGGGGGGGGGGGTAAAATTTGGGGAACATTGAACAAAGTTAGGCCAGCACAACGTTTATGAAGTAGGACTCGGTACCCAAGAGCTAGAATTCTGGAATAAAACAGATTCTGGAGCACTGATATGAAGATTCGAGAAAATGGATGCGTCGGAGAAGTGTGGACACCGTGGAAATTGGAGCAATGACCCAGACAGACACTGAATGAATGAATGAAAAGTTGTGGGCAGTGTTGCTATCGGAAGATAGGCAAACTACTGGCTACCATGCCATCATGGGATACTTCGGCTTGATGAGTCTGGAGGAGATAGCTGCTGGCACCTTAGTAGATCCTTGAAGAAGTTAATGGGGCTTCGGCATGTTAAGAACGAGGAAATATAAAAATGTGGGCGCTTTTTCCAAATCTGAGGTTGGAGAGAAAAAGAGGCCAGAACTGAGAAATCCTTGTACGAAGGGAACTTGAGCAGTTCAAATGAGAGTTTTGTTGGACAACATGGTATTCATCAACGAACTAGTGGGCTTCAAATCCTTCGCGTTCGCTGTCTCGTGGGCTCGTTAACTTACTGGGTGACATCGATCACAAAGCTTTGCTGGGCTCGCTAATCCACTTTTTTTAACACCGATGTCGTAGGTTGAGCGAACCAGTGGTATACATCTGGCACATAACAATTACTTGAAGTCTCGGAGGACAGTCTTGTAAGTCACTCGCCATCAAGGCGTTGAGGTAGTTTGGGCATGGAAAGGTATGTCAGTGTTGGGGTTACGTGAATAGAGTCAAAAATGGGATTTACTATGACATGCACAGGTTTTGGTCGCATTCCTTCCATCAAGGTTGTAGGAATGCAAAAAACACACAAGGTCTGCTGTGACCGTATCCATCAACGAGCCCAGTGGGTAAGCGAAAACAGTGCTACTGGGTTGAATCGATTTTACAAAAAGCACTGCTAAGTTTGCAAACCCACTAGCTTTGTGATACCGATCTCTTGGGTTAAGCCCACCCAATAGGTTCCGGAACCCACTGGGTTCGTGATGAATACGGCCACGGTTTACTAGTGGCAAATAAGGGTGTCCCAAAGATGTGCACACTGTTTGATCGTTGATAACTCTCTTGCTTTCATGTCTTTTGCCGAGCTTGAAGTATCATTCTTTAGAGCGGGGTTCAACTTAGATTTACAGTATGGAAATATCAGTCGCTTTTCATTACTGTAGCATGACGATAGGAACTTCGAGGAAGATTTTAAGCCATGGAAAGTGATTTTTGCCTTAGAAAGAAAACCAAACAAGCTAGAAACTCTTGTACTGGCCTAACTAAAGTCGCTGATTCTAAATATGAAAATGGCATTTAGTATAAGGCTTCTTTCATGAGTTATTTCAGATTTAGGGTAACAACTGTTTTTCCAATGTTCGTCAGAAATGTGAATATGCCATCAAGAAAGCTCAAAAAACTGGTGGAAAGTTATGCAGTGAAATCAGCACGCCTGAAAAACTTGCTACACTAATTCTAAAATTTTTTTGAATCTATTCCATCAAAAGGCCTAATCCACAGTGACGATGGGTGTTGAAAGTTCATACCGTAATATACAGTGATGAAGAGCGATTGATGATTCGCTCCATAATGTAAATCTAAGGTGAAACTCGCTCTACCCCTCGATACCTTGAAACTTGGCAAAAGACATGAAACCAAGAGAGTTCTTAACGATTGAACAGTGTGCACATCTTTTTGGGACACTGTACAGTCCGCCCCAATTGGGATCAGGCCGAACCGCCGGCTGAATTTGCGCGCTCGCAGCGCTAAGGGTTTGCGCTGCATCGCGCGCTGTCGCAGAGAGCGAAGAGATTGAAGAGAGAGCAGACTAGCTAGACGTAGGATTGGGGCAGACTGTATATCAATTATACAGGATGTCCCAAAAAATGTGCTTACCTGCCTACTGTTCAAATGTTAACAACTCTCTTGTCATAAAGTCCTTTAAAAAAGACTTTGAGGATGTTTCTGAGCCATTAAGAGTTGCATTGAAGAATGAAGAAGAGTTCAAAAGAGAATACCGAGCGAGCCGAAAACTTATATGTCAGCCTAATCGTAGCCGCTAATTCAAATATGAAATTGGCGCATCACAGTCATGCTTCTTCCAAAAGTTATTCGAAGTGAACAGCTGCTCTTCCAATGCTTTTTGGAAATGTTATTACACCACTAAAAAAGCTCAAAAATCTTGTAAAAGGCTGTGTAACGAAATTAGCTCGCCCGGAAACATTGCTACACAAATTTCAGATCTTTTTTTGACATTTGTTTATCAAGCCATATTTCACAACTTAATCTGTGTTCTGGAAGTTCATGCGTAATCCTACATAACGAAGAGAGTTCAAAAACTCGCTCCTTACTGTAAATTCTAGCTGAAGCCAGCTCTACGAAATGGTGGCTGAAGCTTTTTCAGAAAACTTATGACAAGAGAGTTGTTGATCTCGTAATCAAATATTAAGTGAGTACAGTCACATAAGTTTTGATCAAATGCTCGATATTCAATCCGCCTACACGAACAAGTGAAGTTCATCAGTAGCATAATGCAATTACCTAAATGGTGATGTTCGATCAAGTGGGAACTGTTTATGCACTCGATCCGATTTGCTTGAAAATCTAAAATTTCGAACACTTAAGTAATCAAATACATAAAAAGAAAATTTTTCTTCTTGAATGAGCTTTAAATTTCCGAATAATTATGCGATTTGTTTTAGAGCACATGTTGTTGTCGTTCCAATCTTTACTATTTGTGAGTGAAAAATTATAGGTGGCACGGCTGCTGCACCAAGCGACTGGACTTCCCATTGGAGCAGCCATCATACCTGCTAGAAAAATTCGCCTGCAAATACCAACGGTCACAGGTCCCGATGATTCAAAATAGCTGTCATGTAGGATACTTCAAAATAGCTGTCATGTAGGATAGGATTGTATGTACGTACATTCTCTATGGGATCCTGGATAACCGCACTCTCTCAAAAAATTTTCTTTTTCTCTCAATTTGATGGAAAGTTCGTAAAGATGCTACCAAGTTTGGCAGTGCTTGTTCCAAAAGATGGATAGAAAATGAGGAACACAATCTCAAAACACAAGATACAAGACATCTAAAACTCCACCTTCACCCCAGCGAGAATGTACGTGTTTACGGACCTTGAAAAATCGTCTGTTTCTCAGAAATGTTTCGATAGGTGCCATCAACGTGGCTGCCTTTGATCGTTTTAGCGTGTCAACTTCGCATAAGCGCCTCGGGGTTGCTGAAGTCAACTTGTTAGAACGATCGGATAGCCACGTTGGAGATACCTATGGGAACATTTCTGGGAGACAAACCATATGAGGGTGCTTTTCCACTCAGAATTGTGTAGATCTCGGGATACCTCTAAGCAATAAGATTATCCATCTGCTTTCGGAAGTGCTGTAAATAAGATATTGTGTGAGCTTGATGTATTTCCGGTTATCTTCTGATTAGATCTGAAGTCAGTGTATCTTGCATTGCATCATAGGAGCTATTCAAACCTGGTTTGAGTTTATTCTCTTAATTATTTTATCATAACTTAGTTATATCTACTTACTAAAATTGGCCTCATCGCGATCATTGTTCTTTCACGGTGCAAAGCAGTTAGTGTATTTTTCTTTTGAGTTGTATGTGTTCGTTTATGATTGTGCCTCACTTCATTTTACCTTCGCATCTCACAATCGGTCTCACATGTTTACCTCGCAGATTGTCTAGTTGGAAATTCACCTGTTTCTTATTGTTGATTATGACGAGCATGCACTTTTATTGCTGCGATAAAAGTTAGCAACCTTCTTAGAAAGCGCTCTTACCCATTTTGTTCAATGTGATGACAGGTGACAACCAGGGCCAGGCACAGATGTACTGGAGTAAAAAAAATGAACTTTGTTTTTGCGGCGAAAGCAAAATATTTTACGAAGGAGGGAAATTGAGAAAAAGATCAGCAATGCTTTCATCAGTAACTTTGTAAATTCACCGATGGATGGACAGCAAGTTCCACATATACTACAAATATCAAGGTAATAACACGGATAAGTTGTTTTCATCTAACAGCAGATCTCGTTGTTATCTTATATATAAAGCTGAATGTCTGTCTGTCTGTCTGTCTGTCTGTATGTCTGTCTGTCTGTACGTATGTGCGGAATAGAAATTTTTATTTCTGAACCGATTTGGACCAAACTTGGCACACATATACTTCGGGGCAGGGAGCGTGTCATAGGCTAGTTTTCGTTATCGATCGATATCGATTTTATCGATTTTTTTGCAAAATTTGAGCTACAGGGCTGGGAGTTGGCACAGGGGGTAATCGAGCATGCTGATTACAAATATATTATTGACAGGCCCGGGCGGAGCCGGGTTTGCCAACTAGTATTTCATAATTAAGAGCGTTAATTCCAAGCTTTGATACTTGATGAGATTCTTAAATTGATTTCACTTATATTGGGACTTCGCCGAGATTTACTACCGACTTTGTAGCTGTTACGCGATATTCAGAATGGCAGAAAATAATCACTGTTGAAAAATTGGGAACTTTTGGCGTCAAACGCTCCATATTTTTGCCTCAACTTTCATGTGTTAGCCCTTATCACATGGCCGTGTTAATAATCTTAAGATGGATTAGATGGGTTGCCTTGAATCACATTCTTTCTTTGCTTGCAATTATCTGAGCCTCATGATCGAAATATGAGCGAAGGCCTCATGATCGAAATTTTTTCAAGAGTGCGCGAATTAAAATCAATCAGTGTTAGAATAAAACAAAAGCTTCTTCAAAGCGTAGAGTAGATACGATGCCGAATTTCGACTAGATATGAAAATTTTAATCTAAGCAATAGTATGTAAAGTAACGAGTTTATACAGTGACATCTTTTCATGCGCTAAGCCAGTTCAATTGGCTGTTGGCTTGAAGCATGAACATTGACGAGTTCACATATTATTTCGGACGTTTTTGGCTATACTCTACTCTAGCAAAGATCTAGTTCAGCGAAAAGACAAAGCAGTGCAAAACTACAAAGCGGCCATTTCTTCCACTTCTCAAAATTGTGCAAAAAAGTCTTGTCATGTAGATTAGCGCCTTAACCCAACGGCTTATGCGTTTGATACATGCCGTTCTTTTGACTTTGAACTGTAATATTTCGTCATCCGTCATATCGTCCGTCTTCCGTCTTATAATCGCCTTCTTATTTCTTCTTTGCAGTTGTTGAAAAAATAGAGAATCTCAGTCTTTTGCTTTTTTTACTTCTAGGTTCTCTCCTTTGAACAAAAAAACTTTGAGATGAAAGTGTTGGAGAAAGAAAGACTTCGTTTCAAAAGTTTCAAAAATTAGTCCTGCCAAACCCTGGTAACAACTCTCTGGTGAAGATTGAAAAACGCTACTAACTCTCTAACTCAGACTTTCGAAGCTTTCGTAAATTTATGTCCAGCGCTGAAAGGGTGCAAAAATTCTACCCATTGGTATGGTGGGCGGTTATTAATTATCACTCCTACCATTCAGCGGTTTAAAGGAAGTGTTCATTCAGAATTTCGACTCTCATGTATCTATTGGGGCCTTTCCACGGCCCTGATTTCGGATATGAGGTGCAAATCACGGGAAAGCGCGTGCCCGGGGGCTTACTCGAGTTGTATGCAACAGAAGGCCTCGTATGCAACAATGCGACATCACGCGGAATGTGTCCTAACCAGGGTCAAGGTGGGGTGCGGCACGCCGCACCTGGGGGGCCGTATTGAGGAGTCAAAAGGGGAGGGGGTCGTAGTTGGGTAATCTGGTAGTAGTGATAACATGATATTCGCATCATATCCATAATTAGCATTTCAAATTACCTCTGTAGACAAAGTGTGAGCGAATTCTGAAGATTCAAGATACTAGGCTACCTAAATGAAATGGTCAAATTCCAACATGGTTAACTTTGTTTCAAAGGTGAATTAGCTATCCGTTTTTGCACTCAAGATAAAGCACTACTCCTTCTTTGTCCACCTCAGGAATCGCGCTTCAGAAGACCTGCAAACTGTGAAATTAGAAGCCAACCAAAATCTCGTTTTTCCCATTTTTCGCTTTTGATCGCTGTGCTTTCACCAAATATTACTTAGAGCTAAGAAGACAAATTAGGCTCCAAACAGTCCTATGGAATCTACAAGGTCTAGGCTATCGATTCATATAAATGCTGTCCGCTAAAAATGCTTTTTTGATATAGTTAATGGGGTGCGGCACACCCCCTTAAAAGCTGCGGCTGCCGCAGCTTTTAAGGGGGTGTGCCGCACCCCCTTAACTTGCCTTCAAAATCCAAAAAGCGCTCCATTGCTGGTATGAGTATTGAGCACATAGCTTCTTCTTGCTACATGGGAAATTTGGAGCCGAACGTCCCGCCCATAAGAAAAATTTTCTTAGCCCTTTCAATATGCCCATTTAGATCAAAATCAGCCGTCAAATTACGTGTGATTGTAATGTGCAGTCACAGAAAGTTGGGCGTACAGCTCTCAGAAATTTGAAAACTCTCTAGAAAAAGATGGTGTCCTCCAGAATGTCACACTTTGAGGTCCAGAGGTTAACAGGAGGAAGAAGGGGTCGTTTGAGGGCTTTCATGGGAGGGGGGGGGGGTCGAAAGACTTGTGCCTGACCTGTTTCTCAACTCTGGTAATGCTATCTTAGGTATATAGTTCAGGGGGAGGGGTCTTATTAAGACAGCAACCAGGGGGGGGGGGTCGTAACCAGCGATCGTGTGCCACACCCCTTGCTTGACCCTGGTCCTAACGTTGCTTGCTACGTCAGAACGCGTCACCGAGCAAGTGAGGGCGCAAAAAAGGGGCGCAGCGCAAAGAAGATTCAGGTCCCGTTTCTTGTTTTTGTAGGTAACATCAAGGGACCAAACTAAAGCAGTTGATCTACTTTTAGGGCCTGCTCATAATAAGTATTGTGGGGTGCATGGATTTAGGATGACGCTGCTTTTGGAGACTGCAGTAAGTGTCATATCTTTACGCATAATACATCCAAATGTCGGCTGTATGCAGTCAAAATGTCAGCTATCAGAAATACACCTTCTCTTCGACGGGATTTGTGCTCAAAAAACCGGGGGTGAAATTGTGTTCAACATAACGCAGTGAGACTTCAGCAAAAGTTGTTATCTATTCATTCGGGTTTAAAAATTGAGGGTAAGACAAATTTATTACGACGATTATGTAATGACGATCGTGGTGTACAATAGAATGAGAATTTTATGCTGAAGCAGAGATCACAACTTAAGGTTCCGCTGGTGACTCGACTGAGATCCCGGAAGGTTTGCCGACTAATCGATCCTGTAAGAAAACTTTTATAACAATTTGAAAGAAATGTGTTCGTAGAATGAACTTACCCTAACTGCAATTCTAAATTTACGGAACGACGAGAATCGTGTGGATCGAGTTAAGGGTTGTTCGAACGCATCTGATCGGGTCAGTTGAGCCTTTTCATGGCTGACCGAATCGCCATCGTTGTAGGGGTTCTGTGGTTTTGTGCAGAACGTATCTTCATCACTGGAGACGGGAAGACGTGACTCGAGGAGTCGAACACGCCTTCTACAATAGAATAGGGTCATGGGCTTTTCGAACTATTCTTCCTCTATGGTGGTTTACCTCTGTTTCATAAATAAGCAGGCAAATAGAAGCGTTAAGAAGATCAAGACGACATTCAGAGTCCCTCCAGCGCCAACAACAACTTTTGCAGTTGTTACTAAAAGCGAACCACCTATCAATGCTTAGTTGCACCTTCTAATATTAATAAAATTCGTCTAACTAATTCTTAAACTCACTTAGGTAATCTTTCACCAGAAGATGCTCACATCGTTGACCAACATATCCCGGATCGCAGCTGAAAGGCAAAAAATATAGTGGTCAGCAAATGATTCTTGGCCTAAGTTTTGGCTTCTGCAGACTTTTTTCCTTAACGCTACTAAAGTATAAGCATGGAACTTTTTCAAAACACTTGAAATCGAAAGCCGCGGCATCCCTACTTTTGAGATGGTGACGTCGAAGGCACAGTCACGAGAAATTCCAAGGGTTCTCGGGTTTCCAAGGGTTCCGATGAAATGCACAGGTTAACAGCGAGTTTACAGAAATTGAAAAAAGAACGGGTTCTCTTTCATACGTGCTAGAGTTTTTTGTGCAAAAAAATGGCCCTTTGTTTGGTTTAAAAATGAACATAGATTTCGCTTATAAGCGTAAATAAATCGATACAAAATCTCTTTTGCTTCGTTAAAACCAAAAGCATCAAAATTATAATTTTTGCAAGCAATGTTTCGCCATAAGTTTACGGTAAATGCAAATTGCCTCAATAGTTTAGCCGTGAATTTGGCATGAACGCCATCATGACAACTTGCGATTTTTGTGATCGCGGAAAATTCGACGTTGAATTAGTTGATTTGAGCAATCTTTTTAGATTCTGTGCAGCAGCTTTTGTTTGCGAAAAATGTATGTATGAACTCACACACAAATCTTGTCGTTGCTCTTTAGACCACATCGTCCGTTGCTTCCACAATAGTCGTCGTCCCCAGGACAAGGGATGAAGTCTTTGGGGAGGACAGCCTAAATTCATTCATCGTGCTAGAAAGTATAGATTGTGACTTTACAAATCCTCCACGTTGCATGGGTTTAATGAGGGATGGCGCTTTGTGAGTTGCTGAATAATTTTTTGCAAAACCCCTTCCGTCAGCTACTCCCACTTTGAAAGTAAGCTCCATGCGCTTTTTTACAAAATGTAATTATAGCTTATTTCATTTGCGCATAGGGCTTACTCAGACTCAAGTTTGAGTGAGCAATTTTATGAATTTTGCAGAACGAAAACACACAACAGAGAAAACCTTAACGAACAGCTGACGCAGTGTATAACAAAGCATGCAAAAGCTGGAACAAAAGTTTCGAGTATCACAACTGCTTCACCACTCATCAGCTCAGCTCTGCTCAAAAAGTGCGATATTCAATGCCGTTCTCACACAACATCCCAAATGCTTGATAAAACAAGGAAGTTTCTCAGTTTTACATTGTTGGGTGGACTTCCACCCGATAATCACATCACCGATCATGAGGCTGTGACAACCGTAAGCAAAAAAAAAGAATGTGACTCAGGACAGTCAATATAATCCTTCTTAGAATTATTAACACGACCTTGTGATAAAAGCTAACACAAAGTTGAGGCAAAAAATAGGCAAGGCTTGATTCCAAAAAATCCCAAAGTTTTTCAATAAACATCACATTTTACCATTTGAATATCGCTTAGAATTGGGAATTATAATTGTAATAAGTGAGATCAATGTTAAAATCCTCATTAAGGCCTAAAGCTTGAAACTAACGCCCCTAATTCATAAGATATAACAGCAAGGTTTGCTGTTATATGCACAAACATATCTGCATCTATCAATTTGATATTTGTAGTATATATAGAGCTTTAGTTGCTTCATCCATCTGTGAAATTACAAAGTTATCGATAAAAGCCCTTTGCTAACCTTTTTCTCAATTTTCCTCCTCCTTAAAAAGTATTAACAGGACATTCTAACTTTTGGTCGTTCTTACTTATTGGTGCAAAAACCAGTTGAGATAGTACATCTTATCAATAATATAAAAAACCAGCGAAGTTATTGCCTGCTTCATACTTCCTTATCGCTGTTCAGCTAAGTTCCTGGACCCTAGGGAGGTAGTACATCTTGTCAGTAGTATAAAAAGTAGCGAATACTAGATTGAATACCAAACTAGCGGTTATCTTCCTTGTATTTTCGCAAGATAGGGTTCATTTCAAGCCTTCTACTACTTGAAAATACTCTCACTCATTTTCGAATGATGGAATAAGATTATGGTTTCAGGTATTTGCAGAACATACACAAAATGTAACATTCAAAAGAAAAAACTCCTGCAGAAAAATGTTTTCTTGCGGCATCTCAGCAATTTAGGGAAGGCACGGTGTAGTTCTGTTCAGTATAAAAAAGTTCCCGATTATCTGCTTTACAAGGAAATGGCTAGCACAAAGAAGAAAAAGGAAGTGCGTTGATTTCTATCGATTATGACAGATTGAGCTATGACTCAGTGAGAGATGCGACGATCTGTTCCAAAAAATATTGACATGTCGATTAGTAATTAAATTTTTTCGAGAAAATTCCATGTCAGCAATTTCTAGGATACAAAAAACTTCAGGGAAAGTTTTTATGGTTATAAGCTTCACATCATCGACGAAATCTGTTAAACTTTTACTCAATGTCTAATCGAAATCGCTTTCGATAAAATTGCGATATCACGACAATTTTGCTATGACAAATAAGTTGCAACAAAAAACTTATGCAATCTTCGCAATCAATTTTTCCTAATGATTAATAGCACCAGTGTAGTATATAACAACTTCGTGTTAGGACTATGGTCGGCTCACCTTAGTTGACACCCTCATTTTTCTGGAATATTCCACTCCTTTGCTTGTTTGAGCAAAGCATTCATAGAGCCCACTGTGTGTAGCATCTTCAAAGTTGAAAATTTGTTGGCTGACGCTATAACATGAACGGATATTTTCCTTAAAGTGACCAAGATGGATTACAATACCTTCGTGGCGATCGCCTGCCTTTGATCTCTTCCAACTCTTTTTCAAACCGAAGTGTTCGTTCGTCAATGCCTTCACCCGCAGTGCACTTGAGATTCAATGACTGACCTTCTTCTACGGTCACGGCCAAGGTGGAGTCGATTTGTGATGGTTCATCTAGAGTGGGTCGTTAGGTTAATCACTTATCATTTTCTAGAATTCAAGTGGACATACTTTTGGAGAGGACGAGCTCATATGAGGGGGCTAGAGTGATATAATTTTCTGCAGATCTCTTATAGCGACGTTGGTGCGCCATCGCTTTATACCTGGAGAAATTTCAGGAATAAATAGAGGAGAGTGGTCACAACATGAAGGATGAAAATAAGTACCGAAAGTGAGAAAAAAGATGAATAAACGGATAAGTATCTGCAGCATCATTATGAAATCTTTTGTTGAGAGCAAAATTGCATCGATAGATTTTATAGCGGTTACCTGCTCAATCAATACATCATCCTCAATAAAGATTAGTGATTTCAAGAAGCTTAGAAACCCTGAATAAATAGCCTAGGACCAATATATAGGCTCAGACGAGTTTTGTTTCATTTCAAAAAGACCGCAAAATCAAGACGTAAACGTTATGATAAGGTAATGTCAAGGTGTCAAAGCAGAGCAAAGAAAGCGTGCTCATGAACAAAGCAAGGCATAAAATAAGTGAGATTCATAATCATATCAGATGATGAATCATCCCTTCAGAGTACTGTAATAGAAAAACTTTCCATTCGCTCTTAGAAAAAATTGTCTGTTGACTTTCTCATAAAGAAACGCATCAAATCAATGAGCTGAAAAATTTCATGGAAAGCATCCACTTGAAAAATTGATACATTCGGTACAAATACAGACAGTCCAACCCATTAAGCTTTATGGTCTTCGATAAACTTTCGGATAAAATCATTTTGCATAGATTGTTAAGATGAAGCATCCGAGAATAGTGCTGATGCAGTCACTTACACTAACAAAAAGAAACCGTACAGCACACAAATTGAATAGTTTTTAGTCACTGAGAAGTTTCATGCTCTTAAAGGAAACGCGTATAAAAAATCTGAGACTTTCTGGATGTGAAGAAAAAATACCTATGATTCATTTTTCAGTTCGATGCACCCTTGCAAGAGAATGAAATGATTCATTGATTACATTTGCGATGTTTACATTTCAATTTTTTTAGAGTTATGTGATTGCCTCTCGAACAGTGGAGAGGATACTGGGATCGAAAATGAATGAAATGGAAAGGTTAGGAGAATGATGCAAAGCGGAAAAGATAGAAAAACCCATCAAACAGACTCCGCAACAATTCGCACAGTTCAAATATTGACATTGGCCGCTATAGAGGAACTCCCAAAGCTTATCTCACGACATTGACAAGGTTGGGTAGGAGAATGAGAAGTCACCAAACTTTACAGAAAGTCACAAGACAAGGGCTGCTAAGCCAGAGCATCAGGATGTCTGATGGTTCATAATGATAAGAATTTATAGATCGCCTTTTTGTGATAAATTTTTTCACTACTCAAGAGATTATGATGTAAGTAAGACGGAGCATATGGTTCGTTAGTGTTTTCTATGACGGAAAATGGTTGGAACACATGTTGGAAAAATTTTATGAAGGAGCGCGCATATTTTTGAACGAGCATGCCAATGCATTACTCATGAATTCAGAATGATCTTATAAATACTCTGAATTATCGAATCGAGTGAACGACGTCGTAGTCGTTCAAGTGGTCGCGCCGGGCCCAATGTCACCGAACACAAAAGCAACGTTTATTCAGGCTCACACCGTAAGTCATGATCTTGAAATTCTGAGGATTACGCATTTTGTTTGCATTGTTCATTGAAACGACATGAGAAGCAACTGAGAGTTGGCTAAACGTCATGATGACGGTACGAGCGGAGGTGGCCAAGGGACCTTGTCCTCCCATATTTGCAAAATGACTCACTGAGTCACTGACGGATGTTGCAGAATTTTTTAGAAGGACACCGTTGCAGAGACGGATGAAAGTGGCTGATGAACCGAGTGGGAGGGGGGGGGGGGAGGATGCGGTGGAAACAAAGTGGGTCGTGAAATTGAAAATTTGTCTACTTGAGTCATAGAACTTGCAAATGACCTTATTTTACTTGTAAAAATGCAAAACATTTTACACTTTTCCAAAAATTCAAACCACCGTCAAGAAAGAAATTATCCGAGCGCCTGACTACAGTAAAAAGAAGAAAATCCATAACCACTCCTCGAAAATTCGTCACCTGCGTCACAAAAGTTGATTGAAGGTATTTGAAAAAGCTGAAAGTGTTGAGTGCTGGAACAGTCAAGTAATCGGTCACTTGGTAAGTGGGTAGAATAATCATTCACTTGTTTTTTCATCAAAAAAGAGCGTCTTAGAGTCCATGGACGCGGTTTACAATCGTTTGAAAAATTTGCACTATCTAGAAGGGTAATTAACTAGTTACTTTAATGATAGTCACTTTCGCAGCCATCAAATTCAGCTTCAGAATGACAGACCCACTCCTGCTCTCCCCCCCCCTCCAATCCAGCAAGGGCGGTCGCAAGCTCCATTTTGGCTATACATTTATATCGATCTGTCTTCATCAAATTTTTTCATAATAGTACTTCAAATTTCTCAAATTTAGTAGGCTGCACTGTCGTCAATGTGTCAAGCGAGTTCAAAATTAAAACGTCTCAAAACTCCCTTATTCTACTAGCTTGCAGCATGATTTCTGTCCGATTTTGTTGCCTTTTGTTTGAATCAGCTGTCCCAAGAAATTTTCGCGCTGAGTGTAATCTTACTTATATCTTCTGAAGGCGCTTTTCTAGCACTTTATAACTCATAAAAAATCTCATGAAATCCTCATTCTAACAAGATCGCAGTCCTAAGACCTAGGTAGCCGAGTTATGATCTCACCTAGGCGATATGTTCTTGCAAAAAAGTCTCCACACTGCGCCCTCAAGTGAATTCCATGCAATTGTCACAGGATAAGAGTGTAACAGGCTAGTATATGCACAAACTCACGTGCATGTGAAATTCGTCGTGCTTGCAAAATTTGTTACGTAATCTGATCTAATTGTTACGAATGTTCTAAAAGCAATGACTTTCTATAAATGGATACAAGCGATGAGTTCAAAAATGACAGTGCTAGAGTGGAGCAAAAGCTAGCAGGGCCCATCTATCAATTGCTTTTCACCACTCGCAACGAGTGAAAGACTGCATAATTTGGAAATAGGCATATGTGCATGTTTACAAAATAAGGGTTAAAAGGCAGCTTTTCCTCGTTTGATAAAAAAAACTCGGCTTAAAAGTCTCTGGATATTCATTTACTATGAAGTAATCGCCGGGATTTCGCTTATGTACCAATGACTACTTAGTATGCCTGTTAGTTCTTATAAGGAAGCATCGCCATGTCAAGAAGGACAGGCTCGAAGAGAAACCACGTAAAACTTTTCAATTCTTTGTTCTTCTATAACACATTGAAGGCACATGGTGTGTCAAAGCTTACAGCGTACCTCGTTAGAATGACGACCATCTTGCAATAAATTCACTCCAGAAGCTTTCCTTTGCACTCTTTAAAGAAACCAACCTTCATCTTTTTTGTCAGCCTTTCAGAGCTACTGTAGATATACTGTAGATGGCAGTATGTGTGTACTCTCGAAAATATTGTCGGTTCCATGAAAAGCCTTGGTCCCAAAAGGCAGACAGCTAAGATTCTGCATGGTCGTCAATGTGTTAATACGTTTTTCGCAAGGCTTAGTAACCAACTGATGGCCAGGAATTGCTTGATTTACCTAAGCTAAGACTATATGAGAAATTGATTATATACCATTATTTACTATATTAGGAAGTTTATGGTTATGATGTTTCAAATTTGAAGAATGCAAATCGGACAGAACTTATCCAACAACCTGATACCTGAGGATGAAAAGAGGAGGATTCGCCATCAGGGCTCTAGTGAATCGGAAGTCAATGGGGAAAGAAACAAAGAGAGATCTACGGAAGTGGTATAGCCTTTGTAAATCCGCGTCACTTGGACCAGTTATACCAACCGATTGGCTGAACTCGTTCTCGTTTTGTTAATGGGGTGGAACGATTCTTTGCTCACTCGAACATTCTCGCATTCTCTAACATTGCGCAGATTTCCGATGAAGGATGACTGGAGGTTTTTATATTTTATAATAGCGAAGAGAGGAGTTATTGTCGACAATTACCACCTAGGAAGTCAAATCAATCGATGTTGTGTTTTGTGATGAACCAGCTCTCGCAAATTGCACGCTCTTAACTGCGCCGTTGGTATTGACGTCATCGAGATGTCTATGATTTTTGCGGAAGTTCACGACCAATGATTTTGAATCGTGGAGTTGAAACAAGAGACAAAAATAATTTTTTGGGGTTTTCAAGATCATGTTTATATGCGTAAGATTGGAGCTTAAGCTCGCACCAAGTTTTTGAAAAACCGTAAAATATCTCCAGACTCATTTAACTTATACATAGGGTATAAATAGAGAAAATATCTGCTTTTTAGTAACGTGGAAGTAAAAATCATGTTGTTACATTGCGGCAGAATTGGTAGAAGAAAACACTTAAACCAGTTTTTTAATCAAGGTCGCTCAAAGTTCTAAATTGTATAATAACTTCTAATTTTGTTTTGGTTGATGTTGACCACCCCTTTTGAGCTAAGAAAATTTTTTATTGATCAGATGTCTCTACAAAATTTGTAGTCTTCAAATTCTTGTCACAAACTTGGATTTGATTATATCTATGATATACAATGATGTACCGCACTCATTATATAGAAAAAGAATACGATGCAAGTTGAAACATCATCCTGCATAATTCAATGAATTTTTTTTGCAAAATTCCCCCAAGACTTTTTATGTACCAAACCAATAATTTGCGGAACTTTTTTTATGAGAAAAGACTGATATGGTTTGAAATATTGAAATGCTGGTGTTAGTTAAGCATTATAGACTTTGAACCTTAGCTTATGACAAGTATTAGGCACTCTCAATAAGCTATAAAATGCAAGAAAATGTGTTGGAAATCTTTTGATATTAATAGCTCCTTATCACTTTTCCTTGATCTATAAAAACTTCCCACTATAGCAATAAAAATTTTCTTAGAAACAAAAGGAAATAATCGCTGTAAAAATACATTGGCGTAGTAGACAGAATAAGATCAACAATGAAAAATCAACACATGCGTAGCGATAAGAAAGTTTGCGGTAAAAGGTTTAAGAAGCTCCGCATGCTAGTGATGACAAAACCCGATAAGCTATCACTGCCGCCTCTTC